TCCCGCTGGAGCAGCAACTCCTTCCCCTGCGGGAAACTGCCGTAGCAGCAGTAGCCCTGCTGCAGCTGCTGCAGCTGCTGCTGCTGCTGCAGGCGCTTTATAGCTGTCCTTTTCTACCTTGGAGATATCTTTTAATTAGTTTAACGTTTTTACATATCGAAAGCGAGACGGCACCGCACCACAGTGAAGAGGGAGATAGGGCGCCCCTCTGCTCCTCTCTATCCCCAGTACATAATATATATAGTATATAAATATATATATAAATATACATATATATACATATATCTCTCATTTTATCTTGAGGTTATTCTACTTGTTTCTGCATGCTTAAGAGGCTGCGTACCGAGGGGGGAGGAGCAGTTTAACAACTCCTTACACTCTTATAGCACTGATCTAAAGGGGTTAGCCTAAACTTTTATACAGAGTCTTTACCGAAGACTGGCTAGAGCTAGTACTTGTACTTCTACTTGAGGAAAGGCTGCCTGGTATGTCCCAAGGAGATGTTGAGCAACACCCTACAGTCTTAGTACATGCAGCAAAGGGGTCTTAGCTATACTGCATGTGGGGTTGACTCGGACAGTTTGTTGCAGTAAGACGCGTCCTAACGAATGTCAGGCTGCCTCCTCTGCTCACCAGCCCCAAGCCCTTGAGCTCCTGTGGGCTGCATGCATGAGGGTTGCAGGGGGGAGGCATGCTGCGGTTGAAGAACTCTTACCGGAGGTCTTGGGGCTCCATTGCAGCTCACCATTGCCCTCTATTAAGGCCCTATATTAATACGGAGGGGCCTTATTGCTCGCAGTAGCGCTGCATGGCTTATCGGATGCAGTGCAAGTAACAAGACTCAACCCTTTGCAGCATTTGGGACGGGTGCTGCATGGCAGTGAATCGTAGTAGAGGTTCTTCGCACAGAATACACCCCAGAAAAAACTTACGATATTCTCTCAAATGCATTTGTCTAAACTACACCCATTTGTCTCTAAAAGGGGAGTTTAGTCAGCTTCTGTCCTCTTTTGGTGGAGAGACAAATAGTTGGGCGCTTGCTCTTGTAGAAGCAAACGGGAGATCTACCTGCAGCAAAAATCCACGAAGAATGGCTTCACCTTTCCTAACAGCACAAGTATGACAGACACCGCGATGCGGACACAGTCAGAGAAGTCTTTGATTCAAATAATCTGCAATTTTGCCGCCAAAAATGTGCCGGAGGAGCTACAGTTGTTATCGGCATCTTCTACAATAAAGGGGCGCTCATCAGGATGGTTGTTTTATCAAACTCAGCGATATTACTTTTCTTGAGTGCATTCGGACTATGGAAGCTTTCCGTTAGGGCATGCGATGCAGGCTTCTTCCTAGGTGTGCAAGGAAATAGGCTATGGATAAAGTGAGATTTATATTGAGCGTTGCATCGAAAAGTATCTGCTTTCGGCAAAAGAAGTCCTACTGCAGACGCAGAGCTTCCACATCAGTGGTTCATAGCCATGGTGTCCCCTAAAGGGAGGCAATATGTATCTGCCTGGACCCCTGAGAAGGAACTAAGACACGAAGGTTAGGAGTCACCGAGATGTTTGAACGCTAACTCATCAAAGAGAGAAAAAGAACCGCTTCCACCACTCCAGCTGGGAAGGAAGAACATCGGCTTAGAAATGAGTCTGGCATGGAACCTATGGGTGCTGAAGCTGTGCTTTCCAGCCCCGAACATATTAAGATAAAATAAGATGATAGACGGCGGCCGGCCAGTCCTGCACCCAGAAAACCCACAGACAGTACAGGCTGGCGCATCTGCTTCTTTTCAAACAGAGGGCACATTGTTCGAGATTGTAATCGAATAAAAACGGGGGAACTCTGCACAGTTCCTCCACGGGAACCAAAAAAGAGATCAGCATAATGCCTTGCCCTCTAAGCAAGTTGCAACGGAGTTATTGATAACAGCAAACAAAGTCACAGCTGCATCTGCAGTTCCATCTTCAGTCAACGTCGCGGTCTTTCAAATTCGCACAGACGGGCAGTGGTTGCTAGTGCTACTTTACAGAGGCTGCAAAGCTCATCTGGTGAATCTCCAGCGAAAATGTGCAGAGTGCCTTTCTATTCATATTCAGCGCAGTCTCCACAACTAAGCGTTGCTCATGCTAGGCGCAATACGAAGATCGCTAACAATAAGGGCTTAAAAGGCCAACTCATTTCAGAAATTACTCATATTTCCGTGATAGGGGGCTTTAGCTGTGGACCAGTTCAACATGAAGTAATCGTATGCATGCCGAGGGTGGCCCAGTGGAAGGCATGCATGCGGCCACGATAAGACAGTAACGAGGTCTACAAGCATGAAAACAATGAGAGAGCAGACTAGATAGTTCTGCCAATGGGATTTGCATCCTTTACGGTGAGAGGAGCGGGTTGCATGTTTCAAGGAAGCAGGAACGCGGAGGCTTCAATGCAGTAGACAGGCGCTGCACGAAACGACGGGGAAATGCATGCACTCCTTCATGATAACTTTACGAGATTGACTGCTGCAGAGTAACACCACATGTACCCACACACCCAGACCCCCACTTTTCTTGTGCGTACACTAACATTATGGACAATCGTTAAAGACTTTTTTGGCCCTCATCAACTACCTTGCACGTAAATAGATATGCATGCGCCAACTTCAGAGCATGCTACAGAAGCAGCGCCAAACTCTGACAGCCCTATTATCCAGCCGATGTCTCGAACTGAAGAACGGAACCAGCTGTATCTCTGAAGAGGGTTTAGAGGAGCTCCACTACTAGAAATGTATGTATATATATATATATATAATCTTCAGCGGAAGGCCAACGACGACGCTCTGCAAAAGAAGTGGTTGCAAGCTCCTCGGGCCCTCTGGAAGACGAATACCAGTTACCACCGTTGGCTCTTCACGTAGCGGGTGCAGGATATTACGGAAAGATATGAAACACAAGCACAGTACAACTAGCAGTTGCTGCGGAAGCTACTAGCCTGCTGCACCTTTGCTTTGTTTATCGAGCGCTGGAGAATTTGTGCCTTACTCCTGGCTGCTGCTAGGTGCAAGGGTAGTACATTCCCTTTGCCTTTCGTGGGAGCCCTATACCGTTACATTATGCTCTTCTTGCTGATTATTTATTCTACAAGGCGGTAGTTCAGTTATCCCTTAGCCGGAAGAACCCTTGCCTCTAAGCATGACCCACCCGAAGTAGGTCTATTAGTTCTACTTGCGTGCACGGAGCCTACGAAGTGTTCGGCAATTGGATACAGTGTAAGTGCATGCAAGAAAAGGGGTTTGGTTGTGCTTGTTTCTACGTTCGCCTTAGAGCACCGTTGTGCTTGCATCGAGATGCGTTACATTTAACGAATGCCTGTCGGCTGCCTCTTTCACCAGCATCAGGATGCTGTGTGCAGGCCTCCTGGGGACTGGATGGGATACTCTATATTTTCTGGTACCTCTAATCTTAATCCTTTTGACGCCGTTGCAGACCAAGAAGCTGCTGTCCTAACACTCGGAGGGAATTTGCTAGGGCTGCGCCCCTCAGAAGAACGCCGTTACCCCCTTATCCCCTTCAACGCATTGCAAAGAAAGAGAAGAATGTACGACAACAGCAACTGTCTCTCAGTACAAATCCATAGAACCCAATAAGGGTATACCTTAAATGATTATCATATATAAGATATGCTCTCCTGTAAGACACACATCCGGCGTAGAAGAGCTTCGCTACGCTGGCCAGCTGCCAAAAGAACTGCTTGTTGTGGTTTAGGGTTTATGGTTTAGGGTGTATCGATATACGTTTGGGGTATGGGGGGCTTCTAAGACGGAGTGTAAATGTAAGGAGAGTCTGCAATGTTATCTAAGTCGCGTCTTCAGCTACAACTAAGCCCAAATGAATCAAACTAAGACCACGTAAAGAGGAGCACCTCTCCCTTCGCCCCCAGGCGTCCTGAGCACAGCACCTACGGGTGTAGAGGGGGTGGACCTATCTGTATATACACTTCACTTTAACTAGTACTGCAAAGGCAGCCCCAAGTGCAAGCACAACAACGAAGCCCCCTTTGCTGCATGCCCTAACCGTGTAGAGCGTTGTTATACAGCCCATTAGCCCTCAGTACGTAGCCTACACTGCAGTAAGAATATACATATTAACATAATATTGATGATGCTCTCTGTTTGGTGTGTATACAAAGACCGGCGAAGGGGGGAGGGTATATAAGCTGCATGTTTAGAGTTTAGTGCGGAGAAGAAAAGATAAGAAGACAATTTAATATGTTGTTATATTTATAAAAAATAGAAAAATGCAGCGGGAACGAAGGAAATCGTAGACGCTGCTGCTGCTGCTGCTGCAGGCTGGCTGCTGTTGAAAGACGCTGCTGCTGCTGTTGCTGCTGCTGCCGCTGCTGCTGCTGCTGAGGCGGCTGCGGCTGCTGCTGTTTGTCCCCTTAAAAAACAATAAGAGAGGCAGTTACAGCAGAAATAGGAGACAATCTTCTCTGTCTCTCCCTCTGTTGTTGAGCTGTATGTACACCTTGATTGCTGCTCGCCCCAAGCCCCTCCCTCGTAGTTTTCATTATTTCTTTTCTACATTGCAGCAGCAACTGTAGCAGCAGCTGCAACAGCAGACTTTGCTGCTGCTGCTTCTCGCACTGCTTCTTCTACCATTCTGCAGGGGCTCCGCCCTTCAGCCCCAACCCCTAAACCCTAAACCCTAAACCCTAAACCCTCAGCTGCAGGCCCAGATCGACAGCAGACGCCAGCAATGGCGAATGACAGCAGCACAAGCAAGGCCTCAGAGGCTAAGGATGCCTCCGTGCCGGAAGCTGCAGCAGGAGCAGCAGCAGCAGCAGCAGCAGCAGCAGCAGTGGATCCGAAAGAGAAGTATCTGCAGCTGCTTACTACTTCTCTGGTGTTAGTTAGAGATGCTGTCGAAACACAAGACCAGCGCTACATGCTGCGGATGCTGCGGCGTTTTAAGCAGCTGCGGCTGCAGCAGCAGCAGTACCCTAAGCAGCTGCTGCAGGTGTGCTCGCTCATCTTCTGGGGACAGCCAGAGCTGCAGCAGCAACAACAGCAGCAGGAAGGCAGCAGCAGCAGCAGCAGCAGCAAAACCCAACTCATACACCGTTCTATCTTTACTCAAGAAGCTCTATCTTTCTGGAGGACTCTAAGAGAGACATTAGAAGAAATCGTGCGAGACAGAGAAGGCGAAGGGGAGATGATGAACACAGACGAGGTGCATACAAACCCTAAACCCTAAACCCTGGACAATAGACCCCCCTAAACCCTTAACCCTTTACCCCTTAACGGAAAGTTGAAGGTAGGAACTCTGACTGTTGTTTTGTCTCTTGTGAGCAGCCTCCACAGCAGAAGCAGCAGCAGCAGCAACAGCAGCAGTCGAAGCAAGAAGGTGGCGCTGCAGCAGCAGCAACAGACTCTGCAGCAGCAGGAAGCAGCAAGACACTGCAGTCCTTCCGTGCTTCTTCATTCCTTTGCTGCTTACCAGAGGCGGAGGTATTGCTGGCGACGTTGGTGTTGCTGCTGCTGCTCGACCCGCGTCCACAGCAGCAGCAGCAGCAGAAGCAGCAGAAGCAGCAGCAGCACGAACAGCAGCAGCAGCAGCAGCAGCAGTGGCAGAAGGCCTGGGAATTTAGCTGCTGCCTCATTGAAAGAGTGAAGCAGCACGATCGCAGATCCCTAGACAGACTAACAGCAAAGGCGTGGTTTTATCATGATAGAGCGTTAGAACTCTCGAAACAAAAATGCGACAGACGCGCGTAAGGGTTTAGGGTTTAGGGTTTAGGGTTAAGGGTTTAGGGTTTAGGGTTTAGGGTTTAGGTTTATTTGCTCGCATGGAGGCCAGCAGCGTATTCACCTCACCATACGAAGCTGGGCGCTGCAACAACAGCAGCAACAGCAGCAGCAGCAGCAGCAACAACAATAGCCACAGCAACATGCACAGCAACAGCCACAGCAAGAGCAGCAACTGCCACACCAGCACCCGCAGCACCAGCAGCAGCAACAGCAGTAACAGCAATAACAGCAGCAGCAGCAGCAGTAGCAGCAGCAGCAGCAGCAGCAGCAGCAGCAGCAAGTGCTGCGTTTGTGTGTTGTTTGAAGGGAGTATCTTGCTGCTTATCGGAAGGCTACGGCTCGCCGAGACATCACTACGCAGGCGACGCTGCTGAATATGCTGCTGAGACTCTTCGTTAACAGCAAACAGCACGATGTAGCACTCAAACTGGTACTTTGCTGCTGTTGCTGCTGCTGCTGCTGCTGCTGCTGCTACTCGTATCGTTGCTGCTGCTGCTGCAGCTGCTGCTGCTCGTATCGCTGCTGCTGCCGCTGCTGCTGCTGCTATCGTTGTTGGTGCTATCGCTGCTGCTGCTGCCGTCGCTGGCGGTGCTGTCGGTACTGCTGCTGCTGTTGCTGCTGGCTTCCTCTTCTGTCGCTCTTAGCGAGTGCTTTTGCTGCTGCTGCACCTGCTGCTGCTGCTGCTGCTGCGCTTCTTGCTGCTGGCTTCAGGTGCAGAAGACGACATATCCTGAGGGGCTTCAATCAAATGCACAGCATGCGCGTTACCTGTACTATCTGGGTCAGCTGCTGCTGCATCTTCTGCTTCTGCTGCTGCTGCAGTGATTGCTGCTGCTGCTGCTGCTGCTGCGCTTATTGCTGCTGCTGAACGTGCACAGTATTGTATTTTTTGCTTCTTCTACCGCTTCTTGTGCTGCTGCACTGCCTACCACCACCTCACGCGTTTGTGTCTGTAGCTGCTCGGTATCTGCTGCTGCTGCTGCTGCTGCTGCTGCTGCTGCTGCTGCAGGTCAGATTCAGGCAGCTCGTTTGGAGTACGGCTCTGCCTTCTCGCATTTGCAGTTGGCGCTCCGCAAAGCGCCGCAGCAGCCAACGATAGCCAGGGGCTTCAGACTAGCGGTGAGGCAGCAGCAGCAGCAGCAGCAGCAGCAGCAGCAGCAGCAAAACTTGCTGCAGCAGTGACGGCAACGGCGACAGTTGCAGCAGCAGAAACAGCAACTGCAGCAGCAGTTTGTGCAGCAGCAGCAGCAGCAGCAAGGGCGGCATTCGCAGCTGCATTCGCAGCTGCAGCAACAGTTGCAGCAGCAGCTGCAGCATCTTGCTGCTCTTGTTGCTTTGCTTTATGCAGGCGTTAAAGAAGTGCATAGTAGTGGAGTTGTTGATGGGCGATATCCCAGAGCGGTCTCTCTTTAACAAACAAAATATGCATGCAGAGCTAGTGCCCTACAGAGAAATTGTCTTGGTGCGTCACAGCAGCAGCAGCAGCAGCAACAGCAACAGCAACAGCAGCAGCAGCAGCAGTTACAGCAACGGCAGCAGCCAGAACAATAGGAACTGCAACCGCTGCTGCAGCAACAGCAGCAGCAACAGCAGCAACAGCAGCAACAGCAGCAGCAGCGATGGTTGAATGAAGGGTGGGCTTTCTTATCTGTTTGCTGCATGCGTTGCGTTGCGGTGTATGCTTTGCAGGCTGTGCGCAGCGGCGATCTGCATGCGTTTGCTGCAGTGCTGCAGCAGCACGAGAAGAGGTTTCGGCAGGATGATACTTATACGCTGCTGCGGAGGCTGCATCAGAATGTCATTAGGGCGGGCCTCCGCATTATCTCTCTTTCTTACTCAAGGATTCATTTGGTCTGCTGCTACTGCTGCTGCTGCTGCTGCCCGTGCTTCTGTTGCTGCTGCTGCTGCTGCTGCTGCTGCTCGTGCTTCTGCTGCTGGCGCTGCTGCTGCTGGTGCAGCTGTTGATGCTGTTGCTGATGCTGAGGCTGTTAAGGCGGTGTTGCTGTGCCGACTTGCTGCCGCTGCTGTTCGTGCAGCAGCAGCAACAGCGTGATTTGTGTTTGTGCTGCTGCTGAGGTGTATATGCATGCGCTGTTTGCTTCTGGCGCATAAAGATACGCATGCATGCAAACAGAGTTATATATGTATATATATACATAGATAGATTTACCTACGTATATTATATATATATACATTTTTACGTGTATTTATGTTTATACAGAAAGACAGCTATATATATATGTATATATATACATATATATGTACATATATATATATATTATGTGTGTGCATGTGCATGCAGAAAGACATAGCAGCAAAGTTGGGTTTGGATTCTGCAGCTGAGGCGGAGGCGGTGTCTGGGAAGGCGATTCTGGACGGCGTTATCGACGCGAGCATCGACCACGAGCAGCAGTTCCTTCAGTCAAACGTATCGACGCTCTAGGGTTTAGGGTTTCGGGTTTAGGGTTTAGGGTTTTGGAGTTAGGGTTTACGGGTTACGGGGTAGGAGTTAGGGATTAGGGGGTGGGGTTTAGGGTTTAGGGTTTACGGGGTGGAGTTTCGGGCTTAGGGTTTAGGATTAGGGGTTAGGAGTTAGGGTTTAGCGGGTGGGGTTTAGGGTTTGGGGGCTAGGGTTTAGGGTTTAGTGTTTCCTGTATGTCCGGGGGGGAGCCCTTGTGTAGGCATTGCCCGAAGTTCTATTGCTAGTGCTGCTGCTGCTGCTGCTGTTGCTGTACAGGCGAGCTTAGACCTGTACGCCTCCAGCGAGCCTCAGAAAGCCTTTCATCGCCGCATTACCTTCTGCCTTGATCTCTACAACGACGCTGTGAAGGTGAGCAACAGCAGCCGCAGCAACAACAACAGCAGCAGCAGCAGCAGCAGCAGCAACAGCACTCAACAGAAGCGGTTGGCTGCGTCTGCATGCACTTCGCAGGCAATGCAATACCCCGGCAGCACTGAGAGGCAGCAAACAGTTGAAGACGACGAAAGAAAGAGGGCCATGCAGGAAGAAAGGGCGAGAGTGAGGCAGCAGCAGCAGCAGCAGCAGCAGCAGCAGTAGCGGTAGCACCGTTGCAAGGTGCAGCAGCAGCAGCAGGTAGAGAGTTCGTCTGCGCACAAACCCTTCTGTTGTGCGGCTGCATGCAGGCGGAAGACGAAGACCTGGGAGATGATATGGACATGATTTAAATCGGTGCAGCAGCAACAGCAGCAGCAACAGCAGCATCAACAGCAGCAGCAGCAGGCAGCCTTAAAGGTCGGTGGGTGCGAAGAATCCTCCTTGTGGGGCTTTGCACTGCATCAGCATGCATGCATATTCGTCTACCTTAAGTAGATCCGCATGCACAACTGGGCCTGCCTGCATGCATGTGTGCATGCATGCCTACCTGCATGCATGCATGCATGCATACATACGTGTCTATCTGCCTATCATGCATGCATGCATGCATGCCTATCTGCATGCATGCATGCATGTTTATGTGCATGCATGCATGCACGCATGCAGATAGGAGGTGTTGTGTTTGCCCAGAAAGGGCTTTAGGGCTGGGGGAGGCGGCAGCAGCCCGAGCTGCATGTACACCCGAGCGCTTTCTATGCCTTACGGGCACTCTATTTGCAAAAACTTTTACTTAAACTCCACAGCACAAACACTATGTCGTGCTAGGACAGCTGGCCTTGCTGCTGCTGGTGTTGCTGCTGCTGCTGTTGCTGCTGTTGCTGCTGCTGCAGCCGTTGTTGCTGGCGGGGTTGCACCTGCTAAAACGAATTAAAGTGGGTTCGCGGGTAGAATATATGTAGCTTCTGCTGCAGGAGCAGCAGCAGCCTGCAGCAGCGGGCTGCTGCTGCAGCAGAGCCGAAAGCATCTCAGTAGGAGCAGGGGGGCAAGAGGGTGCGCTTGGACCCTCGGCTAGCCAGCTAGCTAGCCAGCTAGCTAGACAGCCAACCAACCAACTAGCCAGCTAGCTAGCTAATCAACGAGCTACTCAGCAAGTAGCGAAGTGGGAGGCCCATTAGCTAGCCAGTCTGCGAGTTGGCTAGCCAACCAATCAGCCAGCTAGCCAACTAGCTAGCTCGTCAGCTAGCTAGCTGGCCAGTTAGCTATGCAGCTGGCTACCCAGCTAGCTATCCAGCTAGTTGCTTGATTTGTTGCTGCCGTTGGCGAGGACATCGTACTTAAGCCTCGCGTCTACTGCATAGTTGCGAGGGGGTTGCTGACAGGCGAAGGCTCTCTCCTTGCCTCTCACAGCAATAGCAAAAGGAGCAGCAGCAGCTACAGGAGACACGGGGCCGCTGCTGCTGCCGCCTGTCCCCGAGCAGCGGGCGCCGCCATGAGGCAGCACCGGCACGAACGCCGGTGGTGGAGCAGCAGGTGCAGCAGCAACACCAGGGAAGACACCCTGAGCTGTACATACACCTGGAACTAAGACGCCCCCTGCAAGCAGCAGCAGACAAATCCAAACAGACAGCAGAGAAAACCCTGTAGGAAAACAACAACAAAGAAATAGCATTATTTGCATGCATGCATGCATGCATGCAGGCATGCTTGAGGTGTATGTACACCCCAGGGGGAGTCGCCACTCACCGCCACATGGAGGAGGAGCCGGAGGCCCGACGAAGTAATGAGGGGGCCCCTGCACTGTTTGCTGAAGTGGGTTCTTTGCTGCTAGCTGCAGCGCCTGCTGCAGCAGCAGCAGCAGCTCGTCTATCATTTCAAGTTGCTGTTTTTGTGGCAGCGGGGTGCTGCTGCTGCTGCTTTGCTGCTGCTGCACTTCTTCACAGAAACTGCGTGCCTGAGCCTCCGGCAAGCAGCGATATGCTGCAGCAGCAAGCTCTATGGGGGGGGCCCCTGATGCCTTAGCTTGCTGCAGCAACTGCAGCGAAGCATTTGCTTCCAGTAGAGGCCCTAGGCCTCTCGTTGCATGCACAACAGACATAGGGTGGGCCTTTGGGGCTGCATTAAGCAGCGCAGCAACTGCAGCATCTTGCTGCTTGAGAGGGGTTCCTGGGCTTGCTGCTGCTTGCTGCTGCACCTGCTGCACTGCTTGCTGCAGCTGCTGCTCCGCTGCAGCGTTCGTAGGCCTGTAGCTGGCCGACTGTCTCCACATAGCAGCAGCACGCGAGGGGGGAGACACCACACGGGAAAGGCCTTCAAGCCCAGCTAAAGGAGACAGATACTCTCCTAGGCTGCAGATTGCTGCTGCTGTCTCCTCAGCACCAACAAAAGGAGACAGAGACAGCAGCAGCTGCAGCAGAGACACCCCAGGGACGCTGCCTCTCCTCTGAGAGACCCAACTTAATACGCTGTTGAGGAGACGACGCACTTCCAAAGGTAAAGCTCCCGCTTGAGCTGCTGCCGGTGCTGCTGGTGCTGCTACTGGTGCTGCTGCTGGTGGTGCGGCTGGTGCTGCTGTTGCTGCTAATGAGAACGGAGACACAGGCTCGCGCTGCTGCTCTTTGGGGGTTCGTATAAGCTCAACCAGCTGCTTGATAATCTGCATAGCCTCGTTGTTGTTGCTTGCTGCAGCTGCTGCTGGGGCTGGGCCTGATGCTTCACCTCTGCCGGTAAGCGGCTGCTGTTGCTGCTGCAGCTGCAGCTGCTGCTGCAGTTTGGTTAGCTCTGCGAGTTGCTGGCTGAGCTGCTGCACCTGCGCAGCCACTGCAGTGTCTGCTGAGGCGTTCTCTGCCGGAGTGCCCGCAGCAGCAGCAGGTGCAGCAGCAGCAGTGCCGGCTTCGCGCTTGCTGCTGCTAATGGTCTGCAGCATCTGCCTCATCTGCTGCTGCTCTTTGCTGAAGCCTGCAAGGAATTCTTTCAGAGACTGCATTGCTGCTGCTGCTTCCGCCTGCAGCAGCAACACAACACAGCAGCACCAAAACTAAATTCGTCTCTGTCTTCTGGAGCGCCTCTTACTTCCTTACACCCCAAGAAATAAAATACAGAAGCAGCAGCAGCAGGTGCAGCAGCAGCAGCAGCAACAGCAGCTGCAACGGCAACAGCAGCAGCTGCTGCAACAGCAACAACAGCAGCAACATCCGCAAGAACAGGAACAGCCGCAACAACAGCAACAGCAGCTGCAACAACAGCAACACCTGCAGCAGCAGCAGCAGCAGCAGGAACAGCAGGTGCTGCTGCTGAGATGGACGTACGCTCGCCTCCTGCGCTGTCTGGGTTTTGTGTGCGAGCTGCACCTCCAGGTTGCTGCGGCTGTCTTCTAGGGTTTTAATTCTTTCTGCTAATAGTCGAGATCGCTCTTCTGCTGCAGCAGCAGCAGCTTGTGCTGCAGCAGCAGCTGAAGCTGCTGCTGCTGCCTTCTCTCTTTCTGCTGCTGCTGTCTCCCGCAGCTCCTCTACCAAAGCCTCGCTCTGAGACAGACGCTGAGACATCTTTTTCTCTTCTTCTCGCAGCATCTCCGCCTCTACCGCAAAAGAACTCTTCGCCTCCTATGCACAAACCCTAAACCCTAAACCCTAAACCCTAAACCACCGATCCCCAAACCCTCGAGCCCAAGTCATTCCTACAATAAACCCTGAACCCTAAAACCCACACTATATAAACCCTAAACCCTAAACCCTAAAAACGCCAAACCCTAGGCCTTTAACTCTAACCCATGACTTCGCCAAACCCTAAACCCTAAACCCTAAAACCACGAACCCCAAACCCTAAACCCTAACTAGCCACTCAGCCCTCAACCGTAAACCCTCAACCCTGCGAATCCTACACCCCAAATTAAAGGCGGCCTGCATGGAGTGCAGAGGCTGCAGCAGCAGCAACAGCAGCAGTAACGGCGGCAGCAGCAGCAACAGCAGGAGCGGAAGCAGCAGCAGCTGCTGTTGCTGTTGCATGCAAGCGTAGAACCTACTGATTTAGCTGTCTCTGCATGTTTTTGCAGCTGTTCCATCTCTAGGTCTTTTGCTGCTAGCTGCGCTTCTGCTGCTTTGCTCTGAGTCCTCGCCTTAGCTAAGGCAGCACGGAGGCTGGCTGTCTCCTCCTGCAGCATCGTAGCCTCTTGCTGCGCTGCAGCAAGAGACTTAGCTTGCTGCAGCGCCTGCTGATGTCTCTTCTCAAGATCCTCCAACTCCGCCTGCAAATCCGATATTGTCTGCTCCTTCTGCTGTAGTCGCTTCTGCAGCAGCAGCAGCAACAGCAGCAGCAGCAACAGCAGCAGAAAAGGATTTAATAACCCCCCTTTTCTGTCTCTGCAAGCTAGGAGCATCCTATACACTCGGAGCTGCCTATACACCCGGAGAGGCTACGGTGTCTACAAAACAATATGAGGTGCCTATACACAGCACTGAGGTGTATATACACTGCACTGAGGTGCCTATACACTCGAGGTTGTCTCACCTGGCAGGAGGCTGCTTCCTGGCTTTTTTTTGCTGCTTCTGCTGCAGCTTCATCTAACGACTCTTGAAGAGCTTTGCACTTATCAGTAGCAGACAGCAGATTCTGTCTCCTTCTCGTTATCTCTGCATTTGCTGCCTTTAGCTGCTCGCTTGTACGCTCATGCATGCTGCGTGCAGCTTCGAACTGTTTGGTCTTTTGCTGCAGCTGCTGCTGTAGGAGCTGCAGCTGCTGCTGTGCATCTTCCGCCTCTCGCTGCAGCTGCTGCTGCTGCTGCTTGTAGCGCTTCACCTCCTCCTGCAGCTCTTCTTGCTGCTGTAAGGCGCTGTCTCTGCTGTTTTTTGCTGTCTCGTACTTTGTTGTAATCTCTCCTAGGCGTCTCTCTAGGCTTTGTGCTTCTTCACCTAGCTGCTCTACTCGCTGCAGCAGAGACCCCCGGAACCGCTCCAACTGTCTCCTCTTCTGGCGCTCCTCAGCCAGCTGCTCCTCAAGCGCTGCAGCAGCAACATAGCAGCAGCGGCAGCAGCAGCAACAGCATCAGCAGCACGATAGAGAACAGAATCATACAAGCTATGCCGCTTGCAGCAGCAACACAAGTGGTTTCTTAATAAAGAAAAAAAAGCTTGTCTATGATGCTAACGGCAGCAGCCTGAAGCTGTCTCCAGCCAACAGGAGACACCCGAAAGGAGACAGACGAAAACATAAAACCTCAGCAGCAGACAGACAGAGACACTGCACCACACTAAGAACATAAACAGAGACAACAAGCAACACGCACTCATAGAAACGCAGCTCAAACCCAGCAGCAACAGCAGCAGCAGCAGCAACAGCAGCAGCAGCAACAACAACAACAGCAGCAGCAAGAGCATCAGCAGCAGCAGCGGCAGCAGATAGGTATCTTATATGTCTTTGGCTCACCTGCATTTTTGTCTGCATGTTGTGCTGCCTTTTTTTTATATTTTTCTTCAAGAAGCTGCATTTCTTTTTTATGTTTGTCTCTGAGTTGTTCAGTCTGGGAGTTAATTTTATCTTTTAATGCTGCTAGCTCTTGCTGCAGGTTGTGTTTTTCTATCTCTGCTGCTTGTTTATGCTGATCAAGTTGCTGCTGATGCTGCTGCAGCAGCTTCTTCTTCCTCTCTTCTTGCTCAGCTTCTAATGCTGCTAGACGCTGCTCAAGTACTTGAGCCTTTCTCTCTGCCTTCTCCGTGCCCTTATGTTTAAGTGTCTCTATTGCTTCTTCATATTTTTGCTGCAGTTCTTCTAGCTGTTCTGTATGCAGCCTCTTTAAGCGTTCTGCATGCCTCTGACTTAGACTACGCTCTTCTTCTAGCTGCGTTTGTATTGTTTTATGTCTCTCCTCCCGTACTTGCTGCTGCTGCTGCTGCTGCTGTTGCAGCTCCTGCTGCAGCTTCTCACACCTCGCCGCTAACACTTTGCTCTCAAATTCTGCTGCTGCTGCTTGCTGCTTCATTACTATTGACTGGTTTTCCGAGTGTTCTAGCTTTCTTAAGAGCTCTCTGTGGGCTTTGTCGTTATTATCTTTTTCTTTAAGAAGCTGCTGTCTCTCTTTCTTTGCTTGTTGGTGCAGAGTGTCTCTCTCCTGCTGCAGCAGCATACGCATCTGCTCGCGTTCGTCTGCTAGCTGCTGCTGCGCTTGCTGCACTTCCTGCTGCAACTGCTGCTTCTCCGCCTGCAGCTGCTGCTGCAGCGAATCCTTTTCCTGCTGCAGCTGCTCCCACTGACGCTGCTGCTGCTGTCTCATCTCCGCTGTTTCTTTCTGCAGCCTCTCCACAGACTGAGCTAGCTGCTGCTTCTCTTCTTCAGCAGCAGCTTTAAGAGCCTTGAGCTGCTGCACCGTTGCTGCAGCTGTCTCCTTCTCCTGAACAGCTGTGAGGTACTCCGCAGCAAACCGTCTGGCTTCCTGCTGCGCTGCTTCTGTTTTCTGCTGCAGCTCCTCTACCCCCTTTTGCTTCTCTCTTGCTTCATCTAATAGAGTATTAGCTCGCTGCAGCTCTTGCTGCTGCTCTTTCGCCTGCACCATAACTTTGTTATATTCGTTCTTAAAGAAAGAAGCTAGCTGCTCTCTCTCACGTTCGAGTTGCTGCTCGTGCTGCTGTGTCTGCTGCTGCAGCTGCTGCTGCGTCCCTTGATGCACCCGCTGCAGCTCCTCCTGATGCTCTTGGCGCTGCCGCTGCAGTGCTGCTTCAGCTGTCTCTAACAACTCTTTGTTTTGCTGCTCGAGGGCTTGCGCATACTTCTCTAGCTCTGAGAGCTTCTCAGCAGCAAAGTCGATCTGTTCCCGCTGCAGCGCGCCGGTCTGCTGCTGCTGCTGCTGTTGCTGCTGCTGAAGCTCCACTACCTGCTGCTGCAGCCCCACGCAACGGCGTTGCAACTCCTCATTAAGCAGCTTGTAATGCTCGCGCTCTGCTGCTTCTTCAGGTTCGTACAAAGAAAGATGTAGCTGCTGGCGTTTAGGAGACGGAGAGGAGACAGGTGCAGCAGTAGCAGGAGACAAAGCAGGGGGGAGGAGGCCCTCTTGGTGGTCTTGCTGCTGCTGCAGCTGCTGCTGCAGCACAGCTGGAACCCGCTGCTGCAGCAACGCCTTTGAAAGACCCTTCTTTGAGGCTTCTATCTCAGCCTGCTGCTGCTGCTGCAGCTCTTTCTACAACACAAAGACACACACACAAAGACACCGTTAAATGCTGCTAAGACAAAGACACCATTAAATGCTGCTGATGCTGCTGCTGCAGCTGTGATGCTGAGACGAAGGCACTATAAAATGTTGCAAGACAATTGCAAAGACATCATTAAATGCTGCTAAGACAAAGACAAAGACATAAAAAATGCTGCTAAGACACGTGGAGACACCCCAGTAAGTAAGGCTCTGTCTACTCGATACAGCAGCGAAGCAGACGCAGCAGCTGAGCTGTACAGACACCCCAAACCCCTCCTCACCTCCATTGCTTCAATTTGCTGCAGCTGCTCCTCGCGAGTCATGCTAGGAGACAGGGGACGGGCAGCAGCCTGCAACAAATCTTGCTGCTGCTGCAGCAGCAGTTGCTGCTGCGGTGGCTGCTGCTGCAGGAACGGCCTTGCCTCTTCACCTTGCTGCAACTGTGCTAGTTGCTGCTGCTTCTGCAGCTGTGCAAGCTGCTGCTGCTGCTGCTGCAGCAGCTGCTGTTGCTGTTGCTGCAGCAGCGGGCCGGCCGAAGGGCCCACTTGCTGCACACCTGCTGGAGCATATCCAGGGCCTATTTGCTGCTGCACTTGCTGCTGCATTTGCTGCTGCTTGGTGCTGTCCTCCTGCAGCAGCAAGCGCTGCCTCTCCTGCTCTTCAAGTTGCTGCTGCAGCTGCTGCTGCAGCAACTGCTGCATCTGTGACTGCTGCAGCTGCGACGCATGCGCCTGCTCTTCTAGCAGTCTCTGCTTCAGCTGCTCTACCTCCATTTGTTCTTGCTGCCGTTGTTGCAGCAGTTCTTGCTGCTGCTGCAGTAGCTGCTGCTGCAGTAGCTGCTGTTGGAGCACCTGCTGTTGCAGCTGCTGCTGCAGCTGCTGCTGCTGCTCACCTGCCTGCATCTGAGCTTCCGGCGGTCTGTCTTCTTCGTGCTGCTGCAGCGCGAGTTGCTGCTGCTGGATTTGCTGCTGCAGCCGCAGCAGGTCCTCCCGCTGCTGCTGCACCTCAAAGTCGTGCTGCTCCATCAGCTGGTGAGCGCGCTGCAGCTCTTCTGTTTGTCTTGCATATTCTGCTGCTCGCTGCTGCTCCTCCTGCAGTAGCTGCTGCCTCTGCTGCTCCAGTTCCTGCTGCTGCAGGTGCAGCAACTCTTCTTGCCTCGCATGCTCTGCTAGCAGCTGCTGTCGCAGCTCCTGCTGCTGCTGCATTTCATCTTCTAGGGCTTGTTGCTGCTGTCGGTGGGCCTCTTCTAGCTGCTGCTGCTCCTGCTGCAGCAGCTGCCGCTGCTGCTCCAGTGCTGCTTCGATCTGCTGCTGCTCCTGCATCTGCTGCTCCTTTAGGGCCTCTAACTCTGCCATCTGCTGCTGATACTGCTGTAGCAGCTGCTCCTGCTGCTGTTGCTGCTGCTCCCGCTCCGCCGTCAGTGCAGCAAGATGTTCTTGCTGCTGCTGCTCCAGAAGCCGCTGCTGCTCCTCCATGAACTTCTGGTGCTGCGCCTCCAACTCTTGCTGCAGCTGCTGCTCTTTAATCTGTAGCTCCCTAAACTTATCTTGTGTCTCCGCTAAGGAACGGTTTACTTGCTGCTGCTGCTGCATGTCTCTGCTCATCAATAAGGCGTACTTTGCTTGCAGCTGCTGCTGCTGCTGCTGCTGCTCCTGCTGCAGATTGGCAGCGGCCTCTGCAGAAGCCTGCTGCTGCTGCTGCAGCAGCTCGTCGCTCTTCTGCCGCTGCAGCTGAGCCTTAGCAGCCATCTCGTTGTAGTGTTTGAGTTGCTGCTGCAGCAGCAACATGAGCCTTTGCCTAGCTGTGAGCGAGCTGCTGCTGCTCCTGCTGCTGCTGTACCTGTACATGCGCAGCTCAGCAGCAAGCTGCAAGAACTCCTGTCTCTCTGCTTCTGCTGCAGCACGGCAGCTCAGTAAAGCAGCCCTCATGTTCTTCATCTGCATCCTTATTACCTCCATTTCATTTTGCTGCACTGCTGCTTGGCCTTCTAGCAGCGCTGCTGCTTGGCGGTGCTGCTGCTGCTGCCGCGCTGCTACTGCTGCTAAGGCTGCCAGCATTTGCTGCTCTTCCAGCTGCAGCTCAGCGCTTTCGCGCTGCAGCTCCTCGCCAGACTGCTGCAGCAAAGCTTGCTGCTGCTGCTGCTGCTGCAGCAACTCCTGTCCGCAGCTAAACGACTTGCTGGAGTCCATCCTCTCTCCGATTATGCACGACTGCTGCTGCTGCTGCTGCTGCTGCTGCATGTTGGGGCCCCTACTACCGCTGCGAGAAGGGCCCGGTGGAGCAGAGCCTCCATTTCGTTGCCCCCGATTGCTGCTGCTGTTGTTATTGCTGCTCCTGCTGCTGCTGCTGCGGCTGCTGCTGCTGCTGCTGATTCCACGGAAGTAATCCCCACTTTGGGCCTCTTGCAAGTCTCCCTGAGAAGCAGCAACAAGAGACCTCGTATACTTTGGCCTGCGTGCAGCAGCAGCAGGAGCTGCTGCTGCTGCTGCGTGTCCCTTCTTCATTTGCTGGGATGCAGCAGGAGACTTGTACGGTGCCTGATCTCTCCTGCGTTGGTTGGGGTTTGCTGCAGCTGCCTGCTGCTGCTGCTGCTGCTGCTCTTCTTCGTTCTGTGTCTCCTCAGCTGAGGAGACACCCGAGCTGCTGGAGCTAACATCTAGTAAGGGGTCCCAGGAGGCCCTTAGCTTGCCTTGATGTTTATTTGTCTCTTCTCTCTTTTTTGAAGGAGAAGCAGACGGAGACACCCCCATATTGGAACGGTTCATTGCTGCGCTTCGTGCTGCTGCTGCTGCTGCTGCTCTTGGTGCTGCTGCTGCTGCTGCTCTTTTGGCTGCAGGAGACGCGCTAGAAGTGCTGCTGTTGGGGCTAGCAAGGAAGCTGTCTAGGCTGTCTCCGAGGCTTTCTCCCCCCACTGAGCCTCCCCTGTCTGCTGCTGATGTTGCTGCTGCTGCTGATTTTGCTGCTGCTGTTGCTTCTGAACGATTCACCGCAGGCGGAGAAGGGTTCACCACTTTCCGTGGCGCAGGAGACTGCTGCTGCTGCTGCTGCTGTTGCTGCTGCTGCTGCTGCTGCTTCCCCACGCTCTCAGTGCTGCTCTTTCTCTTGGTAGGCGTTTGACTTTGCAGCACACTGGATGGAGCTGCTGCTGCTGCTGCTGCTGCTGCTGCGGGAGGCTTCGGCTTCTCCCTAAGTGAGCGTGAAGCCCTCATAGCAGCGGAAGCATCAGGCTGCTGCTGTGCTGCACTTGCTGCTGCTGCGCCTCTTCCAGCAGCAGAAGGCGGCTCTGGAAGGCCTTTTGAATTGTCTCCTCTCCGGGTGTCTCTGGAGGTAGGAGACAGCTGACTGGTCCCCTCTTCTGCTGCTGCTTCATGCTCTGGGCTCGGTGGTGCTGAGTCTTCTACTGCTGCAGCAGAGGCTGAAGGCTTATCTGCAGCAGCAGCAGCAGAAGCAGCAGCAGAAGTAGAGAAGCTATGAGAGGAGACACCTATCTTCCCTTCTCTAAGCGAGCTTATCAGCTGCGCAAGTCCCTCATCTAGCTCTTCGCTGCTGAGGGCCTCAAGGGCCCTTGACTGCTGCTGCTGCTGCTTCTGCTGCTGCTGCTGCAGCCCTCTCGACTCCCAAGGAGACGATCGCGAAGCAGCTCCAGACGCTGTCAGAGACAACCCTGACATTACGGATTGTTGCGAAGACCCTGAGGGGCCCCCCAGGGGGCCCCCTGGGGCCCCCTGAGAGTCCTCTAGGCCCTCCTGGGGCCCCTCGAGGCCCTCTAGGCTCTCCAAGGGCCCCCCAGAGGCCCCCTGGGGGCCCCCTAGGGCCCCCATAGAGGCCCCTTGGGGGCCCCCTAAGGCCCCCATAGAGGCCCCTTGGGGGCCCCCCTGGGGCCCCCCTGAGGCCCCTAGGGGGCCCCCAGGGAGACTCGTTAGATACGAGGGATCCTCCGAAGACATTGAAGACAGTTGGGCGCTCGATCGAGAGACTAAAGACCTTGACAACTCCAGATGCTGCTGCTGCTGCTGCTGCTGCTGTTGCTGCAGCGATAGCGAGGGCTGTTGCTGAGGGACGGACGCGAGAGAAGCAGAAGGAGGAAGTTGGGCAGTGCTTTGTTGCTGGCTCCAGGAATGTGCTGCACCGTCGTCATCTGCTGCTGCTGCTGCTTCTGCTGCTTCTGCTGCTTCTGCTGCTGCTGCTGCTGCTGCTGCTGGGGAAGGCTCTTCTGGGGTGTCAGCAGCAAAAGAAGAGCTGGCGAAGCGGACCACCTGTCTCCTTTTTGTTCTGTCTCCTGTTGCTGAGGAGTCTTTAAGAACTCCAGGGCGGGGAGACGGCTGGGGCTGCTCCATTATGAGGGTTTAGGGTTTAGGGTTTAGGGTTTAGGGTTTAGGGTTTCGATAGGTGGCGGCCTTCCCGTCCCCTGTGCGCCTCAGCCTCGGGGGCCCCTCCCTATACACTCAACGTAGATGGGGTGTATCTGCAGACATTGTTTATTAATTAAACGAGACAAAAACTAAATTTATATCTAGCACACTTCATGAAGAGACTCAGAAGCTGTACGTACACTTGAAACTGCGCTGCAGCTGCTGCAGCAGCAGCAGCAGCTGCTGCTGCTGCAGACAGCCAGCAGCAAGCCGCACAAGGTCCGGACCGCCTGCTGCAGCAGCAGCAGCCAGGCCTGCTGCTGTTGCTGCTGCACAGGGGCAGCAACAGCAGCAAAAACAAAAGGAAAACCCTTTCTTCTTTAAAAATTAATTAATTTAACAAACAAACAAAAACTAATAATTAAACAAAAGCTCCAGACAGGGGAGACAGACACCGAGACAGCTCACGAGGTGGTCCGGTCCGGCTGCTGCTGCTGCTGCTGCTGCTGCTGCTGCGGGTCTTCTAATGCCTTTTGCTGCTGCTGATCTGGCTTCTTAAGTGTTTTACCTTTATATAAAATAAACAAAATATACTTTTGTTTAATTCAGGAAGAGATGTTTGTGCAGGGACAGAAGGCTCCGCTGTCTATCCGCTGTCTACGCAGACAGCCCTCCACCTGTGGGCCGCTGCTGCTGCTGCTGGAGCAGCAGCAGGTGTTGCTGCTGCTGCTGCTGCTGCACGTCCGGCTGCAGCAGATAATAATTTCCTATTTGGGGGAGGCAAATTTAGAGTGGCTTCAATTCTCTTGTAGCGACAATAATTATAAGGAGGTAGCAGCAGCAGCAGAAGGTGCTGCTGCTGCTGCTGCTGCTGCTGCAGGGACACTGCCCAGTGTATCTGTACGGTGTCTCTGCAGCAGGGCTCGACCCCCAAACCCTAACTAAACCCTAAAGAGAAGAAGCAAAACCCTAAACCCTTCTAATAGTCTCTAACTGCAAACCCTAAACCCTAAATAAACTCTAGACATCTGCACGCGTAACAGCAGCAGCAGCAGCAGCAGCAAGCACGCCATATACAAATAACGAACGGCCCTTCTTCCGGTGTACGTGCACCTGGCTGTGGCTGCCTCAACCCCTTCAGCTTCTTTATGCTGAGAGACAGCAGAGAGACAGAGAGACAGAGATGCTCTCGTAAGAAGGAGAGAGACAGAACAGTATCCAGATAGCTAGCCAGCTAGCTAGCCAGCAAACGCATCAGCTAGCTAGCTAGCTAGCTAGCTGGGTAACTAGCTCCCTCTGTTGCTAGCTAGCTAGCTGGCTAGCTGACCGGCTAGCTAGCTAGCTAACTGACTGGGTATAGCTACATAGCTGGCTGGCTGGCTAGCTAGCTAGCTTGCTATCTAGCTAGCTAGCTAGGCCCTCCCCGTGCTGTCCAGCCTTAACAACGGTAGAGGCAGGGGACCCCCCAATCGCCCGTATAAAGGAGACGAAAGAGACAGAGAGACAGAGAGACAGAGACAGAGACAGACAGAGAGACAGAGACAGACAGAGAGAGACAGAAAGAGAGACAGAGAGACAGGAGGAGACAAACAAAGAGAGGGAGAGACAGAGGGAGACCGGAGGAGACAGAAAGAGAGACAAAGAGAGACAGAGAGAGACAGCAAGAGACAGACAGACAGACAGACAAACGCTGTTCTATAATTGCAGCCCCTTGTAATTGTTGCTGCTGCTCGCGCTGCTGTCTGTTGCATGCCTGGAAGGCATACAGGAGACAAAGACAAAGAGCCGTCAGCAGCAGCATAAGCAGCAGCAGCAGCAGCATAAGCAGCAGCAGCAGCAGCATAAGCAGCAGCAGCATAAGCAGCAGCAGCATAAGCAGCAGCAGCAGCAGCATAAGCAGCAGCAGCAGCAACAGCAGATGCTGATGATTGTGGAAGGGCTTTAAGCAGCTGTTAGTTCATTGAGAGAGAAAATGAAGAAGTAAAAAAAGAAAGAGAGACGCCCGCGGGGTGTCTGTCTCCTTTCTTTATATAAATGTCTGCTGCTGTCTTGTAGTTGTGTCTATTATTACTATTATTATTTATATATTTATTATTATTATTACTATTATTATTACTATTATTATTATTATTATTATTATTATTATTATTATTATTATTATTATTATTATTATTTGCTTTTCTCTCTCTCTCTCTGCTGCTGCTGCTGCTGCTGTCTCTTCTTTTGTTCCATTCAGGTGTCTGTCTCCGTCTAGCAGCTGTCTCCTCTCTCTTCTCTCACGTCATTGCCCTTCTCTCCTGGCTCCTGCTGCAGCCGCAGCTGCTGCTGCTGCTGCTGCTGCTGTCCCATG